CGACTCCGATATCTTGGACAGTTGGTCTCTCATGGGCTCCCCCCCTGTTTGGGCTATGTTGCAACAGACCCCTGCTTGGCTGGCTCAGAGCAATGATGATCTTCGATGGCTTTTGACTTACTGTCCAGAGGCACGTTGGCAAACAGGATTACTGAACAGCCAGCATGGTGGAAACGTTTGCTAAGGAAGGCCATCCACAGACAGGTTGCTTGGCATCGTCTTTCGCATGAATGGAACCGATGGCACCAACAGATGATTCCTGTGCTTCAACAAGTTGGATTGAGCCTGGGCTCTGCTGTGACAGCTCCACTTGGTCAGTTTTATTGTCTGCAATGTAAAAAGGTCTTTGCCAAGAAATCATTTTTGGCCGTCCATGCCTTTAAGAAGCACCAGCGAATCAGTCGAGCACGCTACTACGTAGAGGGGAAGCAGTGCTCCTGTTGCTTGAAAACCTACGACATGCATACAGACCTCATCAATCATGTCAATAGACAAGAACGATGCTTTGAATTTTATTCCCAGAGGGGTGAGTTTGTTGAAGCACAACCGGCTGTTAACAGCCGCAGTGAGAACCGTGCACGAAGAACACTTCGTGATCCGGTGTTGCAAGCCGAAGGACCAAGACCGCCTCTCCAATGTGGAGGCATTGACCGCCAGATGGAGGAGAAACAAAACCTGTTCCAGGCTTGGAAGCAGGCTCTGCTCTACCCGGCCGATGGGTCACCTCTGCTGGAACGACTTAGGATTGCCACGCTCGACACTGTTCTCTTCCATGATGAGATCCTGACGGTATTCACCGAGTGGCTCAATTTGCCTGAGACGGAGGAGAGTATTACTGTGGCACAAGCAGCTGAGGCATCACTTTTCTTTGTACATGCTTCTGCCTCTTGGTTCCTCAAACAGCAAACGTGTACCACTGAAACTGCGGAAACGGCACAACGCTTCTTTGAGAGAGAGGCCTGGCGCCTTGATGTGATCAGATGCCCGGTGCCCAAGCCGATTCCGTACTACCCCAAAGTCTATGCCCATTTGTTTTCAGGCACCCGCAGAGCTGGAGATGTCCAGGAGGCGATTGAGCAGCTTGGGGGGGGTGGCTGTATCTATCGATATCATTTTCGATATTGATTGGGGCAACCTATTGAAGGAATCCACATTCCAGCTCTTTGCACGTGCCATCCGAGAACGTGTGTTGGCCGGCTTTGTTGCCGGCCCACCGTGCGAGACATGGTCTCGAGCGCGGTCAGTTGACAATGGGGGCCCGCGACCATTGCGTACCAGGATTTTTCCTGTAGGCCTACCACATCTGACCAGGCGTGAAATGGCACAGGTATCTGTTGGAAATCAGCTGCTTGGAGTAGCGCTTTGTCTATTCCTTCATGCACTGATATGGGGGGCTACGGCCATTTTGGAGCACCCTGCGTGCCCTGATGACGAGCCTACTTTTCCCTCCATTTGGCGGCTACCAGTGGTGGACTTCCTGTTGCGTTTCGAGACCTGTACTAAGCTCAGGATTTGGCAAGGCTTGTTTGGTGGCATCTCACCGAAACCCACAGATCTTTTGATCGCCAATGGAGGGCCTAGAGTTGCCGAGCTTTTTGTTCAAGGCCGAACGACGCCTATGCCACGAGGAGGACAGATTGGACGCAACAAAGATGGCTCGTGGAAGACCAGTGTACTCAAGCAGTACCCCAGAGGGCTTTGCCAGACGATGGCCAAGGTCCTGTTTGATGCACAGAGTCAGGCTGATGTGTTAGAGCCATTGCCTGACTGGTTCTGTACAGCCATCACCAATTTAGTAGCAACTTACGATCATGAGGCACGGATGGGCCCGGATTGGGAACATCGTGCTGCTGACCAATGCATGTTTAATTCTTAATTTGTTTGCATGGCTAGCCACAAGCGTACCGCTCTCGGCGTAAGCATAAAGTAAAAAATGTGCAACTACGAAACTGTAGGTGGTGAGTGAAGTGCAGAGAGGCCTAACCACAAAATGATCCAATCCTTTCGCACTGTGGACCGGACTCAATCCTGAAGCAGTCGACGTGACAAGACTCCGCCAAGCCAACAAGTAGGATCTCACAGCATCAGCATCCCAACACCTCAAAAAAGAATGTGCTTGCTGTAACAAGTGCATCACTACTGGTAGCAAGGGCATCGCTACCTGTTGGCTTCCTAAACCGAAACAAAATAGAAAAGACCCAAACGAACCTCGTGTGTTCACCCGGTTTCACGACTCGTGGAACTGGACTTCCCCCCGGCCCCGCACCCCCCACATCTACGTCGCCGGTGGCGCCGGTCGCCGAGGTGATCATGCTCATTGGCAACAAGTGTGACCTGGATCGCCGTGAGGTCGGGGCAGCGAACCCGACGTGGCGGGTGGACGGCCACAACCGGTGGGAGGACAGCCACACTGTGTGGTGGCCGCGACCAACGTAAAATCGTGGGCGCACATGGCGGAAGATGGCACGTCCAAGAGTATTTGGCTACGTCATAATGATTCAGAATGTACTGTTCCGAAAGGCTCATTGGACCCTCAGTTCGCTAGGGTTTTGACCCTCACAACTAGGGTTTTGGACCTCAAACATGTAGCAGTTTGAGGGTCCATGAGCCTCTGGGTTTGTCATATTATTCTTTTGCTGCTCATGGGTCGAGGGTGTTGCTTCACACTTTTTAGAGCTCCTTGAAATGGTCAGCGTGTTCAAAATTGTTTGAACGAAGAAGAGTTCTTTTTCACCACGGTGGCTCCAGGAGGGTTACCCTGGAGAATACTCGGAAGATCAACATAGTGTGTCGGTTAAAACTTTATAGCTGCAATCAAACCAGCAAAGCAAAGTGGCCTCATTTTAAAGATGCAATATCCAATTACATCCGTTTACAAATGTTTGAACACCAGTTAGTACAACGTGGATCGGTGCCATTTTTGCTGTACACTGTACACTCATGTAGACTCTCTTGAGTATAAGTCATTATATAATTATATGAATGATCCCCAAAATGGCTCGGCCATCGTGTGTTTTGTAGACATAGACTTAGAGACTATCGTAGATGCATTCCCACATGTTGTTCACATGCCGCACGTGTACAGCACAACCTGAACTGTGGTCCCATCATTCGTGTCTGGGATAGAATGATATTCCATCCTGATTTATCCAGTACCCCAGAAGATGAGATATGACCCGAACCAAGCTATAGGAGTCTGAATCGGAAGGGCGCCCGGAGTCTAACGGTTTTCCTCGAACCAAACCAGTGCGTTTTTCAGGGTCCATGGGATCGTTTGACCAGCGGGGTGCGCGGGCGTGCCCGGATTACTCTTCGGCTCAGAAACTAGTTGAGACTGTTGCGTGCCACACGGCTGACAGAGATGGCCAAGTCTGGTTGCTGACAGTGCTCCAGTCAAAGCTCCAACGGCTGTATTTCTTCTCACGCAGTTGACCATTAAGAACCTCTCACTACAAGATGGAGGTGTCATTTCCGTCTACTGAGTCTACTCTCAGCTCCAACAAGCACAGGGCGGGCAACCGAAGGTTTGAAGTTGTTTTCGCCATATGAAACCTCTACTCCAGATTGAGTGCATTTCCTGTGTGGAACATCACCAAATTCAATCTATATAGCCCTGCCAAGCAACAAATGGGGAGTTGTGTCCTACAATCCTATCCCAGACACTCCCTGGGACTGGCATATTTACTTACATCCACCCTCTTCAACCACCCCAATTTATAGAAGTATTCCATACATGGATGATCTGGCATGATCTGTGTATGCCAGCTCATTCTTGGAACCTTGAGCCTTCGACCTCTCCACGCGGCTCCCGCTTTCCAACGCAGCAAACCACTTGCAGCCGGGGAGAACCGATGGTCTTCCGCGCGTCCTCGCAGACGCTGCGGCTGCCTGGATGAGTGTGGGAAGAGATGTGGGGCCGGGTCGTTGACCCGACGTCGCCCAGTCCCGGTCGTCCGCCTTGTGCCGCGACGTTCCGTTCACGGCACTGTCGGTAGGTCAATCGGTCGGGCTCATGGTGCCAGGAATGACCAGCGCGCCATGTGATCACAGCTGTGAGGCAAAGTTATCAGGTCTACTCTAGGGATATGTTCATGCCCTAGGGATCCAGTCGTACCGAACCTCAGAAGGTACGACTGGACCCTCCAAACCTACATAGCGGTGTCGAACACATCACCTGCTGAGAAGGTACTTGGATCCCTAGGGATGGAGATCAGACACTCTTGGAGGACCAATTCCAGGAAACCCAAAAACCTGTGAAGACCTCAGGAGATGGGGGGGCCGGCCACATCCGGCCACCATGTGAGTTTCAACCTGAGAGTTGGTCAACGGAAGCACTAAGAGTCCAGAAGCGCGAAGACACAGGCGGTGTTTTCCACCTTTGGATGCCGCTGGCTGCCAGCGAATCCGCAAGAATATCCAAGAATGCATGCAATCTGTATCGGTATATATATACATACATATATATATATTATATGCAGGTGTGATTGTAATGTGTCATTTCATCAAGGGTAATTACGGAGGTAAATGCGAAAAAATAGGTCAATGGCCTGGTCCTTTTCTCAAGCCACTCCATGTTTCAAGGAGTTTCTAATGGGCAATGAATTCAGGCTGCTTCAATGGGTTTGTCAAAGAACCATAGGGTGAAAGACTGCCAGATTTCTGCTCTCCAGGGCGAGTCGCAGGCCGCAGGTCTACATCTTTGATCAAGTCCCTCGCGAACATTGTGACCATCGGACGATGTGTTCGTGCGATGTCGTGAGATTTTGTGTGGCCACCATGCCCTCAAAGTCCTTGACAACTTGGTTGACTCGTCCCCTGCTGGTCTACCATGCATGTTCATAGAGAATCTACAGGCACTTACGTGCACTTGTATTCTGTGCGGTGAGTGCAGTACACTTGACGATGCGCAATGGTTGACAGAGGACGACTCAATAGACATGCTGTCTGGGTCGTGCTGTGCTTCCAGGCAAAAGTTACGCCCGCCTGCGGAAGCCGCTCAGGCTGCAAGGCTGGATGAGCTGGCGGGACGCAGCCTTAGCTTTGTATGCTGCAGGCAGTGAAGTGCACTTTGGCACTGTGCCTGTGGAGAGGCTGTGGGCCAACATTGGCAAGTTCATCCCCAAAGAGGCCGCCAACATCAGTGAGGCTTGGTGGCCCTTCCAGTCACACCTCGCCTTTTTGCGGCTCAACTACCGCCATTTTCACAAGCACCGATTGCCTGGCTGGGCACGGTACCGCTCTGCACCTGAGCCTGTTGCTTCATGGCCAATCACGCTGTACCAGCAAAGTAGTTCCACTTTCTGCTGAGAACCGGCAGCTGTATTGCTTCAACATCACCTAGAAAGTGTCTATCTTGCATAATTGTTGCATTCTATTCGGCATAAATTATGGCATTCCATCTGGCATGTTTTGTGATACTTGTCATTCTTTCTATTTGGCTCAGGCCCGGCGGTGCGCAGTGCGATCTGTAGCGCTCGCGGTTGAGGCCCGGCAGTGCCCACTGTGATCTAGCGCTGGTGGTTGAGGTCCGGTGGTGCCCACTGCGATCTAGCGTCCGCAGTTGAAGAGCCCGCGGATGAGGATGAGGAGAAGGAGGAGGACCGGCAGGACAGGCTCTATATCAGGCTATGATAAAGCCTAACAAGCCTCACCTGGCAGGTGGGAAAAAAAGGAGCAGAACGATCGATGCCCGTAGACTTGCAACCCCTGGAAAAGAAGTGGCTGCCTGGATTGGATCCACTGGACCCATGCTACATTGGACGCTTTGAGGAAGGCAGCACCTGCTCCCAAGCCAGTGGCGGTCAAGGCTGCCAAGGCGAACAACGCTGGGAAAGCAAAGGCAAAAGAGGTGACCGCAGTGAATGACGGATTCCTCAGGGTGACCGCGAGTGCGCGTGATACGGGGGGTGCTACTGATGATTTCCTTGCCTGAAGGAGTCGTGCCACAGACGCCAATCATAGTGCACCCATTTCGGGGTGCCCCATGGAACCTAGCAGCGGTGGCAGGATCGAAGATGGTATGTCGCGGAGCTCATGATTTTGCCCAAACCGAACCGGCCACAGGAAAGCGACTCACATTGATTGGTTCCAAAAATTGTCTTCCGACTTGAACACTAAATAGATCGAAGACGACCAAGCGCTTCCTTTCAGGATATCATATGGGGACGTTTTGAGACCTGCAAGATTGTCAGGCCAGGTGACCTCTCAGTGTACTTGACTACGTATATTTTGTTGAGTGAAACCCCTCTGGCCTTCCTTCGACCGAGATGTTCCGCAACATCGCCGACATCGTTTGTAGTCGAGCGGGCTAGATCTCAATCCATGACACCTTTGCCCCACGCAAGAGATCTCATCCGGTCATCTCCCTGAAACCTTCGCAAGGCCCAAGACCTTGTGGCAAAATCATACGTATGTTATGAAGGAGATGGTGGTCGATCGAAAGGTCGACATAAGGCCTATGTCACTGAGAGCCTTTCAAGTTGTTCGCGAAAGTTTTTCTTGAGTTCGCGAAAGTATTTTTTGCGCGAAAGATCTGCGAGAGATCCTATATACTCTATGTGTAGCTATGTATACGTCATACTTCCCTTCCTTCACTCACGAGGAGCCTTGATTCCTGACTTTCGATGCAGTCTTTAGGCTTTAGGAGCCTAGCTCACTCGCATTGGTGATTTGGCTTGGCCATGCTCCGAGGCACAAACAGTCTTCAGTGGCACATTCACAGGCCTGTACAGTGCACAATATATATATATAATATATAGTTCACACTTGCGATGCGCAATCCCTAGGATGTATAGTAACTCTGTTGTTTCGTTTTGGGCCTAAAAACCCACCAATGACGCGACATTTTGGCGAAAGATTCGCGAAAACATAGGCGAATGTGAAGGCCTGTTTTGTGGACCCCTGCCCTTAAGGGACCGGGTTTGTCTGTACATGCAGAATCCGGATCATGTGTACACGCGGTGTCTGTCCTGGATCGTTTGTGCATGCGAATTCTCGCTGCTGTTCGAGATCAGGATGAAACGAACACCTAGGAAGATACCGGCGAGTTTGTTTGGGTGCAGAACAGATTTCTAAATAAACAGCTGGAAGTGGTTCTGTAGGCTGTTTTTATGTAAAAACATTGAACCAAGAAAATGTCTGGAAGATATACAGTACCCCCCACGAAAATTAAACATGGAGTTCGCGAAAAAATCACGAAAGTAAACCCTTTATTGGCGAAGAATGGCCTTTCAGCAAGAAGGAATTTTGATCAACCACCAAATATCGTGGCCGCTGGCTGGGTAGACTGATCAGTTGTCTTCCAGGGGTCGTTGCTTGGGAGGTTTCCCTATTTTGATACACATCCATAGTTCGAAGACCTGGAAGTGGATGACCGCGGACAGAACCTTTACAGTACGTGGCACATAGGTTTTTGTTTGGCGTGCGCTGTTTTTTTGTGCCAAGGGACTTGCTCCTGGGGAAGAAGGACAAACCCTCTGCCGCCAAGCGAAGCTACTCGGACTCCTTGGAAGAAGGAAAGAAAACCAATGTGTGAGCCAAATAGAATGAATCAGTAAATGCCCAGATCATACATGGCATTTGCCAATTTGCCGATCAGTTGGGGTGGTTGATTTCAGGGTCTTCCTGGGGCGGCATATCTTCCAGTCTCTGTAGAAGGCCAGGGCGTCGATGTTTTGGGTTCAAAACCGATCAGACGAATAGGACGACGGGCGAGCTACAGCACATTGGATGGGTCATTTGTAAACGAATATATATAAAATATATACTCGTGCCTAAAACATCCCTCCTACTAGAACTTCTTTTTGATAGGAACATGTCATATTGTGGATAGTTGATCCTTCAAAGCCTTCAAAACAAAGGTTACTCAGGTTCTAGGTATATTACATACTAAAGTTCCATACGGATGGTCTGGGTAGCTGCAGGGTTTTATTTGAAGCTGTTGCTTCCAACAGGCCGAAGAACCAGCACTCTTTGGGTCCGGTTTTTGGAAGAATTGCCTTGGAAGAATCCCAAACCCATCCACGAACTCCATGTGTGGAATAGTAACAGTATGAAATATTTATCCAACATTAGAGTGACGTCATGTACATGTTCATGTTCATGGAATCCATGTAAACTCTTCCTGTCCGCATGCTCTGGAATCTGGTTCATCATCCAACTCTCAAAAAGCCGCCGCTCCGAGGCGCCACCCCGCGCCGTGATGGCCTCTCGTCCCACGCGGCCGACGCCGTGCCGCGCGGCTTCCGAGTAGTGCTTCCGGCCGGCTGCCGTGGTGGACAGGTGCTTCGCGTGCAGAGCCCCGAGGGGATGCAGGTGCCGCCCGTCCGGTGGATGCGGAGGGGGATGCCATGTGTGGAGAAGGTTCACACACTATGAGGTTCAGGCTCCAGTAGTAGCCCCTATAGTACATTCCAACAAACTGGTTTGTTTTTCCCTGAATCCGATAATCCCCTTGAGTTGTTTTGTTTGCATTCGCTGCTAGGTAGTTTGCTAGATAATTGTGTTCTTGTTTCAACCACAGTACCAGGCCCCATGACAATTATCCTTACAAATTTGCTTATACAGCGCAGACCACTGTGGTCACCGGTCAATGAATACAAGAACTGGTGCTGGACACTTCAGCATGCTTTGCTCTATAATGTTCTATCTATGTGTGAATATCACATCTATTTGGAGGATGTTTGCCCTCCTCCACTAGATAGAATGCAGTGGGAACCAATGGGACATGTTCATCGCTGGTGTGACCTTTCCTGCCTATTTCTATCACATCATACTTGTAGTACACCTGATGCTATTCATCCAACCAACTCTCATACACGCCATCCGGGCAGACATGAAGAACAACTGCACTTGGAGATGTCCGATCTCCGAACCCCATGTCAACCGGGTCGACCGAGGATGTCACACGGTTGACCGTGGACAGACGCCGTGTCGACGGTACCACCCAGGTGGACGTGCAAGTTCCCGAGGGCACCGCCCCCGGCCAAGCCATGTGGGTCCAACTGCCCGACGTCCCGGCGTCCTCGCAGAACCCGGACTCGCCGGCGGCGGCGGAGGCGAGGAGGGCGGCCGACGGCCTGCCACCCAAGTGAAGAGTAACAAAAGATCCACCGTGGCTGCCGACAAGCTAAAACGGCTGTGGTTAAGCATGCTTTATCATTGTATATATATATATATGTTGTCAATAGAGATGAGGTCTCAGTATAGCTTCTATATAGGTACTTGCCATACACATTTGGCTCAAGTGCCCAACCAGGCGAAAAGGAGCTTTAGCGCGCGAGCTTCATGTTGAACTAAGGGCTTGAACGGGGCCAGGGCACGCTTTCCATCCGTTCGCAGGTTATCAGCCGTATCCAGACTCCTTCGAGCTGGGTACGAGCTACGGCCTTACACAACACCATCTAAACGCACACGCATCGGATAGATCAGTTACCCTCAGTCACTGAAGATGGACCAATCCGACGCCAGCACTGCATCCTTTGGAGCAGCCGCTGCGGCCGCAGATCGGGTGAGTGCATCCCACAACTCTAGTCCAGGTACGATCGAAGCGGAGACTCTGACAGTGGTGAGAGAAGTTGCGACAGGTAGAGCACGAAGTCGTTCCCCGTCAGCGCATTCGACACCACCGGGGGGGACACCGAGATCGGGCCGTAGCCCTAGAGAGACAAGGAGGAGGACTGACACCGGAGCTGTGAGAGTGCTAGCATTGGAGGATGGGTCAACTGTACCAGTGCCATCGGACAGCGAAGCTGGAGATGGAGCAAGGGCAAGCACCGACAACCTACAACTAGCACGGGCCGATGGAGACCTCAATGCGAAGTGTGCACAACTACTTGCCGAAGTGCATATGTTGAACCACCAAAACGCATGGATGGTCGAATGTGAGCAGAGACAGAACCAGATTATACAACACGAGACCGAAGTCCACGAAGTAGTGATGACACACCTCGAAGAATGTTATGTCGAAGGATATGGAAATCAACGAAGAATCTCCCAACTTACAGAATCCAGAGACTGTTTGCTCTCAGCAGCACACGATTTGCAATACCAGATTGACACTGATCGTGTGGCAATGCGGGATCGTCTCACCCAGTTAGGGGAGTACGCTGATCGCAACAGCGCAGAGATGGTTAGTCAAGTCGTGAACATCGGCACGGAAGAGATCCAGGCTATATCGGCAGAAAGAGATCGAGCCGTAACCGAACTCATGACTGCAGTCGCAGATGCTGAGAACATTAGGGATCTGTATAGAC